AATGAAATAAAAGGGATCCAAATCAGAAGAGAAGGGGTAAAACTGTCACTATATATGGATATTATGTTACTATATATAGAAAACCCTGAAAGCTCCACACAAAAACTACTAGAGCTGATAACAAGAATTCAGCAAGGTAGCAGGATACAAGATGAACATACAAAAGTCAGTTGCATTTCTTTGCACAAACAATGAATTAGCAAGAAAAGTAAAGAAAATTCCTTTTAAAATCGCATCCAAACGATAAAATACTTAGGAATCAATCTGATTAAGGAGGTGAAAGACTTATACATGGAAAACTACAAAACATTGATTAAAGATATTAAAGATGACTTAAAGAAATGGAAAAATATCCCATGCTCTTGGATTGGAAGAATCAATATTCTTAAAATGGCCATACTGCCCAAGGCAATCTGCAGATTTAATGCAATCGCTATCAAATTACCCAGGACATTTTTCACAGAACTAGAACAAACAATCCTAAAATTTATATGGAATCAACAAAAGACCCAGTATTGCCAAAGCAATATTGAAGAAAAAGAACAAAGCTGGAGGAATAACCCACCCCAGACTTCAGACAATACTACAGAGCTACAGTAATCAAAACAGCACAGTACTGGCATAAAAACAGACATATGGACCCATGGAACAGAATAGAGAGCCCAGAAATGAACCCACACACCTATGGTCAATTAATCTTTGACAAAGGAGGCAAGAATATACAATGAGAAAAGACAGTCTCTTCACCAAATGGTGTTGGGAAAACTGAACAGCAGCATGTTAAGCAATGATGTTGGAACACTCCCTCACACCACACACAAAAATAAACTCAAAATGGCTTAAAGACTTAAATATAAGACAAAATATGATAAACCTCCTAGAAGAAAACATAGGCAAAACATTCTCTGACATAAATCTTAGCAATGTTCTCCTTAGACAATCTACCCAGACAATAGAAATAAAAGCAAAAATTAACAAATGGGACCTAATTAAACTTATATGCTTTTTCACAGCAAAGGAAACCATAAACAAAACAAAATGACAACCTACGGAATGGGAGAAAATATTTGCAAGTGATGTGACTGACAAAGGCTTAATTTCCAGAATATATAAACAGCTCATACAACTTAATAAGAAAAAAACAAACAACCCAATCCAAAATTGGGCAGAAGACCTAAACAAGCAATTCTCCAATGAAGACATACAGATGGCCAACAGGCACATGAAAAAATGCTCAATATTGCTAATTATCAGAGAAATACAAATCAAAACTACAGTAAGGTATCACCTCACACCAGTCAGAATGGCCATCACTCTAAAGTCCGTGAATGATAAATGCTGGAGAGGGTGTGGAGAAAAGGGAACCCCCCTACAATGCTGGTGGGAATGTAGTTTGGTGCAGCTATTATGGAAAACAGTATGGAGATTCCTCAAAAAAGAAAAAATAGACTTACCATATGATCCAGCAATCCCACTTCTGGGTATATATCTGGAGGGAACTCTAATTCAAAAAGATACATGCACCCCAATGTTCATAGCAACACTATTTACAATAGCCAAGACATGGAAACAACCCAAGTGTCCATCAACAGATGACTGGATTAAGAATTGGTGGTATATATAAAGGAATACTACTCAGCCATAAAAATGATAAAATAATGCCATTTGCAACAACATGGATGGCCCTGGAGAATATCATTCTAAGTGAAGTAAGCCAGAAAGAGATAGAAAAAACCGTATCATACCACTCATATGTGGAATCTAAAAAAAAAAAAAAAAGACAAATGAACGTATATATAAAACAGAAACAGACTCACAGACATAGAATACAGACTTGTGGTTGCCAGGGGAGAGGGAGGTGGGAAGGGATAAACTGGAGTTCAAGATTTACAGATACTGGTATAAAATAGGTAAACAAGTTTATACTGTATAGCACAGGGAAGTATATTCAATATCTTGTAGTAGCTTAACAGTTAAAAACAATATGAAAATGAATAAATGAATATTCATGTATGACTGAAGAATTGTGCTGTACACCAGAAAGACAACACTGTAAACTGACTATACCTCCAAAAAAAAAAGTTTGTAAAGGAAGGTAATGATGGACTGATAGCAAAAATCAGCTCATTAAGAAGTGTTCGTAAAGGAAAATAATGACAAGGCTACAGAGAAACAGTGTTGGCTATGAGACTGAGGCTAATTCAGACAAAATTTTGGAAACCTGATTTCTCAGTTTGTAATAGGAAACAGGAGTGTTTAGACCTTTTAATTTCTGAAATTTCCATTCTGGCGAACTTGTCCTCTGGACATACTGAAAGCAAATGCATGAGGATGTTTGTAACAGCAATATTTTTAATATCGATTTTTTTTGGTGAAAATAAATCTAATTTTTTTCCAATAGGAATCCACTATAATCATTACGATGGTTAAAAAACACAAACGGAGGCCAGAGCTGAAAACTTCTAGAGCAGGCAAAACCACTTTAGTCACACAAGCTGAACTTAATTTAGCTATTTTGCAAGAAAAGCGAGACTTGAGCTGGGTCACTTCTTGTTAACACCTCTGAAAAATCGTAAGGAAAACTTAAATTGTTCCACCAAGTTGATATAAGCTAACCAATTCCTTACCATCAAGAAAACACTAATATAACCAATCACTGTGAAGAATACATCGTCATTGCCTCCTCACTATATAAGCTGCTTTCTAACATCCCTAAGGCTCACTTGGTGTTTGGCTTAAATGTTCCAGTTTCACCAACTTTTTGTGTGTGCACAATATTTACTAATTACTCTCAGTGATTCAGTGGTTTTACGTCTGCTGTTTCTGAACTTCTGACACAACTACGTAAAAAACAAAATTCTGGATGGAAAACAAATGCATATTTTAGTCACAACCGCTTGGATTTTTAGTGCATTTAAAAAGGTATTTTAAATTCATCCAATATATTGTAATGCTTTTGCTACATTATACATATTTGCTTTTGGAGTCTTGAAACTTGGGCCCACTCCCAGCTCTTGCATGTACTGGCTGAGGCCAAGTAACTAAACTCTTAAGTTATAGCTTCCTCAACTCTAAAGTTGAGATAATGATGCTTATTTCACAAGGTTCCAGTAGTTAAGTATTTTTATGTCTCTAAATTCCAAAATACGGTATCAGCACTTCACAAAACTGTGTCAGCATGACTAAGGAGATTTTTCTCTTGTTTTAGTTGTGTTTTTTTCCCGTAAAGAAGGTACCATATAAATACTATGATCCAAAGAACACAAGGGATATCTGCTTACCTTCCGTATTTCTCAAGGTCCCGAAGAAAGAGCACAAAGAAAATACAAAGGGAAGCAGAAAATCATAACAAAGTTGGAAAACATGAAACGGAAATAACTACAGTCCAGAATACTGAAAAACAGACCAATGGAAAAAATAAAAACCAGGGGAAACGCTCACCCAAGAGAGCAGAGGAAAGCGTGGCTCTTCCCGGGAGAGCTCGGAACAACTGAAGCAGAGAAGCCACGGATACAAGGAGCAGGTGTGGACCTTGGGCCCCGGATAGGTTAACAACCCTTATTCGTTGCAGCTGGCCCCGCAGAGGCTGCCTCTCCCCATCCCCAGCTTCTGCAGAGAGTAGAGAGAAGCTTTAACTTCTTGAATAAAACTTGGGAACCACTCTCAAAAGAAAGCAGTGTGTCTAGGTACCAAACCAGTGTGAGTTATCAAGACCCAGATAAAAGAACAAAGCTTGAGGAAACTCTGGACTTTATATCAGATGCTGGGGGAAAAAACAGTAACAAAGGATAGAAAACAGCTTGACTCAGGAATAAATGCAAGTTAAGTGTTCTCCCTAGAGATTAGAAGCACCTCTATTTTGGCAGTTGTGGGGATCCACAGCCTGGCTCTCTCTGAGTCCCCCCCCCCCCTGCAACTAGGCCTGCTCTCAACAAAGACCCTGTTGGTTCTTCCATTAAAAGGAACGGACTGTTGGGAAAACACGTCTACAGCTACAAAGGAAAAGCACCCACACCAGCTCTATTCATCAACCTAACTCCTCATGGTCACAGTTGTAAGGAGTGCTCACCGAATCTGTTAAAAACAAGACAAGCCCAAAATGGAGTCGCTTATACTAAGCAGCACGTAGCCAAACCAAGACCTAAACTTGACTACGGTTTCGACTCTCCCAGAGACAGGAGAGTCAGTCAACCAGGAATCACCCGATCAGCACTAGTTAAGAAATCTGCCTGAGACGCAGCTACCATCCCCTAAAGGAAAGTAACTGTAATAACCAACCCGCTTTTTCTGGACAGTGTAACTTCCTTGTTCCCATTCGCCTCTGCCTGTAAAACACTCATTTTGTACAGCTCCCCTTTCTGCTAGATTGGATGCTGCCCAACTTAAATTGATTTCTATTCAAATAAATTGTTAAAAATGAAAAAAAATGCCATTTGCAGCAACATAGATGGACTTAGAGATTGTCATTCTAAAGTGAAGCCAAAAGGGAAAGAAAAATACCATATGATATCACTCATATATTGAATCTAAAAAAAAAAAAAAGACACTATGAACTCATCTACAAAACAGAAACAGATTCTCAGACATAGTAAACAATCTTATGATTACTGGGGAAAGGGGGTGGGAAGGGATAAATTTGGGAGTTTGAGCTTTACAAATGTTAGCCACTATATATAAAAATAGATTAAAAAACAACTTCTGTATAGCACAGGGAACTATATCTTGTAATAACTTTTAATGAAAAAGAATATGAAAATGAATATATGTATATGCATAACT